GCTTCAACTCGGCCTATCACGGGATCTGCTGCGAGAAAACAATCGTGACATGTGGCGAATACACTGTATACAAGTGTGTCCAATGCATACAGGCGTGTCCATTGCGTATACTATTTTGTGTACGCGGACTGGCCATGGTAGGGGGTACTAGGGTGTGCATTTAGGATAGAGGAGGAAGTGTTCGGACTTCTAAATCAATCATTCTCACTTTCAAATTTCAATTCATCGACTCGCATCGACTACAAGCCTCGTTCGCATTGTTTCCCAGTCTCAATTCTCGTTTCGGAGCGCGATAGGCAATGTGTGCTTCGAGGTGCCTGTGTAAGCGCAAACTGTGTCATTCGTCTAACAGTTTGTGAATACTTTAGAATAAGCGTAGATAAGCGATGGAAACTTGTGGCTGGAGGCTACGATTTCGACCGGCTACCAGAAGAAATGAAGGGCTTGGTCGAATACCGATAGCGAATCGCCATCTTGCATACCGTGGCGTTTTACTGCTCACAGACCATCGCAAATATGGCAATCCGTTGAAGAAATAGCATCTCAAGCCTATTGCACGACGAATATCGATTTCAAGCAAAAACATTGCGCTGCACATTGTACCGCTCCCTCAGCGTACTCACAATAGCGACGTGTTGCTGTACGAAGCTGACGCTGATTGCAATGACACAATGTGATTGCCACCATCAGTTTAATGCTCTCTTTAAAGCAAAGAGCTCCACCCACGCTCGCAGCATTGATAAGTTCATCGCACATTTAAAACCTGTTAAACTGACCCAGGAAAATCCCTTTTACTCCTATATACCACCTGCTCGGTTTTATATTTCACGGAGCGAAACATGCAGCAATTTGAAAACCTACGTCGCTATTGCTAAAAAGCAGCTTGAATTTGCTCAATATATCTTTCTAAGCTGCTAAAGAAAATTTATCATTTTCACATCATTTCACCTGATCAATATTATAATTGGCGTTGCATGGCCGTAAAAAGCTGTACAAAATAAATAATCTGTAGTATTTGTACATAATGGATAATATGGAGCACTTCATTTGAGATTAGTAGTGAAACAGTACAGAAGTCCCCCTTAATAAGCGTAGGGGGCTGTCTGATAAATATTAAAGGGAAATCACAACGATCTTGTGATTTGTCAAATGTACCTTCAATCTATGTGATCCGATATAAAGGGAAATTGAGGTACAAGCAACGTTTATTGAGGGGGACTTCTGTACCTACTATTTCTGTGGACCACATTTATTATATCTTGAATTAATCCTTATTGGACTGTACATACTATTCACGTCGCACTACCAGGACTATAGCTCTACAATATGTTCCATCACGAACAAATCTGCTCAAAAGTCTCGCTTGCAAAAAAACACGGTTTTCATATGCGTGGAAAAGAGCTACTTAGTAACAAGTAAACCTTATGGGATATCCCTTTTATAATAGGCTGGCGATACAGCCTATGTTTCTGAAAAGGGTTAGGTATCAAAACAATGGTAATCATGGATACATGTCCAGGTGCCATTCATGTTTTCTCAAAATAAAATACGAGCTACCTTACAGATCTGTAATGTATTCGATATATGCTTACCACGTTTTAAACATGGCGAAACATATTGACAGCAAGGCGTGAGAAATCAAGAATGACCAAACTTTCAGTCTGTCGGCTACACTTCGCACTCTTATCTGTCATGGGTTGAAACTACGTTTCGTAAGGCTCGCATGACACGCCTACACACGCTAAGACCTTCAAGACGCTGAAAACATGCAAAACATGCAAAACATGAAGCGAAACATGTATTGATCACTTGTTATCCTCGTCTTTCTTCTTGCAAGAGTCGCTGAACTCAATAACAGATCGGAGCACATCCCAGCGACGGCGCAACCAAGTCTCGGAGTAGTCGTTGCTATCTTCCTTGTACACCCGACGCCAAAAGTACAGACAGACAAACAAACCGCAATTGTTGCTGTCAGTCTGGACAGGGGTGTGGACAGCAACAATCTCGTACGGTTGCTTCATAACCCTCTGGTTGAGTTCCGGTGCCAGCTTTTCCAGTAAATTGTGGAATGCGCGCTTGTCAAGACTATCGTAGCAGTATATAGTCTGCTGCGGTCGGTTGACAACAAGACACATCCAATGGTTTCCATTGATATTCAACGGCATCAACACCCAGTCCTTGTTGGTGCCCGTCTGTAGACCCAATGCTCGCGGCCCAATGCGCTTGCCCTTGTCTGGCGCTGGTGGCTTCAATTGTGGTAAATAGACCATGCAGTTGTTGTCGTACTTTACCCCCAGCGTTTTGGCAAAGGCTTGGATGTAGTTGTCATTATACCAGCAAGCGTCCCCAGCACAATACAAGAGCGCCCAGTTCAGTTTAAAGCCCTCACCAAATCTTGATAGGCGCTTGGCAGGCCACGTCCCAATCATCTGCTTTGCCACTGAAGCTGATACTTCTTCATTGATTAGTTCGTCCACCATGCTCATCAACCATGAGTAGCACTTCAGTCCGTTCAATCTCTCATCATGTCACCCAACTATTGCATTGCGATGAGTTGCCGCTGCGTAAACTTGCTCATCCCTTCGATGTCCGCTAGCCAACACTCCCGGGGGTGTACTCATGTCCATGACATCCCCGTACGGTGTCAGACGGTCGATGAGCTGTAACGCCTTCTTTACCAATTGTTCAGGCAGTCGATACGGAGCGCAAATTTCCGTGGGTACTTGTTTTATAACTTCAACATTTCTTTCCTTGCGCCCGTTGTGACGCGTCTTAAACGTGTTCAGGTACGACGACAGCTCCAGTAGCGATGGCCTACTAGTCTTCAGAAACTCCTCTACCCGAAGCAACATCATCACCGCGAAGTGAATTTCTCAACTTTCCTCCTTGGTTGTACTCTTTGCGGTCTGCACTTCGTAGAACATCTTGTGCAGCTCTGTTTTTTTAAGCGACCCAATTTCGGAGTGCGAGGATTAAACGGCCTGACGACAGGCTTGACAGTACTTTCACTGCCAAACTGGTTCGAAGTAATTGACTCTACGAATGGCTTAGGCGCAGTAGCCGTCCGTTTGTCACCCGCACGACCAACTTCGCGAGCGTTCCCCATGTCGTCATTTTCTTTGCGCTCATTACTAAGGCCTGAAGCAGCTTCCTGCGTTGGCGGAATATCGTTATCCGAAACACTCGATTGCGTCACGGAAAAACAGACGTCACCCTGGCGCAAATCCCCCCACCATGTCTCCAAATGGTCCAAAGCTGCTGTAAACTTTGCGTCAGGAAGGTCGGTCAGCTCCGACGTGAGCCTGCTGAAGACGTTTTGAACGCTCTTGTACTTGTTGCGCTGAGTCATCTGCCATTTCCGCACTGCATCGTCCACCTCAGTGTAGATTCGGAGTGGCACTTCGACTTCGCCTAGCTCATCTTGCAGCGTACCAACACGAAGCCACCTTTCAATTCACAACATGGTTATTGCATGGAAAATACATACAACAAACATCGTTAGAAATCGAGAAGATACATGTTACAAACATGGATAAAACATGGGTTTCACCTGTCTGGGATTGACGCGTATGGAATTGTGAGAAGAGAAGCTACGTGTTTGCGATAGATCACCCCGTGGCGACAGGGTGGTTTCATGGTCGAAGAGAACTTACCAGTGCACATCCAATCAAACTTGTCGACGCGGTGAGACCCCCCGTCTCGCTTTAACGTAATGTGCAGCGCTTCGTCCTCGATACCATAACTGTTCACAGCGTCTGGGCTGATAGCAAAGGCGTACTCCGTCATAAGCACATCAGCCAACCACTCACTCGTCATGCCGAGCAGTTGATTCATCTCCCCTCCGTAGCTTATGCTTCGGGTGGTGCCAGGCTTAACGATATATGAGACATATTCGTCTTCTCTGCAATGCTGATATCGGATCACAGCTTCCAAACACTGTTTCATCGACATCGCGCTATCCAGATCAGCTTTGAGCTTGCCAGAAAAAGTTTTCCAGTCGGTTGTTCGTGTTATTTCGGAAGTGTGGCAAATCCATTCGGTAGCACATCACCCACATCTCCTTGCAGGCCATCCAGTTCTCGTCAAAGTATGCCCACAGCGCATTAAGCTCCCTCGACACGACAGCAACTTAAATTCACCTGCGTTGTGTTAAAGCTCATCCTTTGATTTGGAGTAAACCATATTGACAACACAGAAATCCATCTGCTTCAGCACACTGCTCGAATAAGTTCCATACTTCTTGTCGTTGCGGATAGCACCACGCAGCCACTTGATCACGTGAAAGAGACATAAGAAATGCGCGCCTTCGGGAACATGGTTTTTAGCACCGCGATCTCATTCAGATCCTTGTCGACCATGATAAACATCGTTATTTCCCAATCATTTACCTCCTGGAAATGGTCTATAAGCTTTAGCATGTGCCAATCGGTATTCCGCTCGGTTACTGACTGCTGAGCAGCCTAATCGTTCCCGAATTGATCAATCACCATAAATGTACAAAGCTGGTAGTTGTATCTACGTGAGCAGCAAAGGAACACCGCCAAAAACATGGTTGTACATGGTTAATACATGCCAGAAAAACAAGGTTTGTAAATGGCTGAAACATGCTGTAAACATGTAGAATACCTGTTCGTTTTGTGGGTGCAATCAGCAAACAACAACTATGGGAAACGCTTGTATAGCCTGCGCATATGTTGCGTGCAGATGGGCACCACGGCAGTTTGACCTCGACTGTTCACTTGAGCCGTGGCCACGTTAGTTTTTGCACCTAAACTGAACTCCACAAGCAGTTCCGCTACTTGATCTTCGTCGGACAACGTACTGCCTGCATAAAATACAACTTGGTTACTCTTTGTATTGTAAAAATGATCTTGATTTACTACGCACCTGACTTTTCTATGTTGGCAATGAGGTTATACACGTCCTACATCTGCATCTTGTGCGGCGAGCTGGTACATATGTAGTCATACAGGCGGCTGGGTTTACTCCCACTTGCAACCATGAGCTCCACATCGCGCATGATCGATGAACTGGCGGGTATCTGTCGAATCGTCGGATACCCGTAGTAAATGTCTTTCGACACAGGGTGATTGTGACCATAAAACGCCAATTATACTTCAACACACCACTCTCCACGTTCTTTCTCGTAACGTTGTGCCACAAAGCGCACCTGACACTCGGTGAAGTTGACTCTGTGAACAGGCCGTTTTCCTATTGATCGAACACGGTTCTTCCATCCATGGGTACAGATGTACACACGCTTAAATGGATCCAAGGATTTAGGGGACAAGGGTCAAGGCCGAGTCGCGTAACCCAGCAAACATCTTCATCTTCTGAATCTGGCGGTTGCGGAGTCGCACATTTAGCGTTTCAGAAACCACCAGCACTGTCATCGTGTTCTGTAGGTACTAAAGCAGATACTCTTTGAACTTCTTCCAATTTTCATGATATTTTTTCAGGCCTTCGACGTAGAAAAGTTCTTCCCCACACTCCATTAGCGCGCGCTTACGTGATTGGGATCTTGTTGAAGTTCCGAAGCCATCATTTTCACTAGGCGAACCCTCCTTGCTACCCAAAGAATAAACTTGTGCATATTTCTCTTCGTCCTCACAACTGCTTTCAGCGTGTTTCCAGTCAGATGCTCATCACCAAGCCTGTCCGTGGCCTGGGCAGTAGGAACCACATCAGTGTTCCCATCACTGCTACTTGGCCCCTCTATCTTCAGCTGCGTGGATAGCATAAGTGGCGCGTTTTCTTTGTGCGTGCCATGCTCCGAATAGATAATGACCTAAGCACAAATCATACATGGTTAGCACATGTTCAAAACATGGGTGAATTATCGAGCATGCTAACATCCATCCAGTCACGCTACACGTACGCGTCAGGAGTTCAGGAGCTACAGTAAGCCCGTGGATGAGTTACACCGCCGATAGAAAAAAGCATTTTCACGTCAAAGATCGGCTTCTATATATTCTCCAGCTTGTTAGTGTTAGCAACATCTCGCGTCAAGATATGCTGACCAGCACTACCTGCTCGGCACGAAGAGGAGCGATGGGAGCTCGAGGCACTACGCGTGGCTCTAGACTCGTTCTGGAGGGTGGTCTGCCTGATTAGGGAGCTTGGAACTGACACGTGGCAAAAGCTCGTCAGTATTGGGCGTTATACGGTAAATCGCAGGGAAGAGAACAGCGCTCAACCGTCATAGAGGTACTTACCGGATGTACAACAGGTCTGCTACAGCGGGGCTTCGTTTCGGTCGCTCCGAGCGGGGGGAAATGGCGCTGCAGCGCGTGCGTTGCGTGGCAGAACGAGTGGCTGGCTCGATCGGTAATTAAAAACTGGGCGGGAGATATAAATTACAAACATGGCTACACATGGATACATTACATGGTTATTGAAACATGGGCTGTACATTTTCCGATTATAATAATACCAGTAGCATTTTAGGCTCTAGCTTACACACTGACATGTTACCGTAGCTAGTCATTTATTATTTTACAAGCCACGATTATAATAGCTAAGAGCATCCCCATTGGCTGTGAGTAAATTTAGGTATTTGCGGTATTATGCTCATGTTTAGTCACATCTACACTGCTTGATCGTAATATGTATGAGCTTGGGTACATCTTATTACCATTCTGACCACTAGATACCATTACCGGTATAGCCTTCACGTTTAGTCACACCTATCGATTTGTAAACTATTCGATCGTAATATGTATCATCAGCGGTCCATTCAGTCGTACAGAGCTATTGCACTTTATCAATTTGAAACATCGCTTTATCATTTTGACCACACCTGATTCAGGCAGCTGGATCCGAGATTAGTCACTCTTGTTTTTTCTGTAAACAGACCCATTTATTTTCACCTAAAGTTTCTCTAAAATTGTGCTTGTTTTGGCGATGCTTTCGTAGCAAACTATTGAACCCTTTACTCAATGTGGCTCCAAATATAGTGAGTTATTATTGTGCATACCGACAGCACAGCCTACGCACGATAAAGGCATCCACCCTATCCACGTGACAGATTCCCGTTTACATGCTCTTCCGATCGCTCGTAATCAATAACGCGCGTAAGCTCCCAGATGGAATCCAGGCTCCCGGCTTCTTCGTCTGCCAGTTTTAAATTTGCTTTGTTAAGCGCTTCACCAATCGTCGACCACCTGTGTCTGCAGTATGAGCTCGTACACTCTTCTTCCGCCTAATAGCTCGGCACTAAGCGACGCCGTGATTGGAGCTGTCCTGCAGCGCTCGACCTGGAATGCCCGTGACAGAACGTCTAATCGCATTGGGAACAGTGCCATTGTTGTACAGCAGTCCAGACGTCAGACGCACCGCCACGAGCCATACAATAAACAAGTCAAGGGCGCCCATGAGAGTCCCGCTAAGGTGTCAGTTGCGACGTCCCAGAAAACTGTGCTCTCGTCATCAGTCGCCCAACTTATCGGGCAAACTGATTTAACTTCGGGGCGAAGACGAATTTCATGTCTTTCGTCCGATCTAAAGACTGTACAGAGCATTATTGAAAGTATCCAAGGGGCCGACCACTACATCACAACGGATTTACAACAGGCGATAGTGACTGAAGCCTTGAAGAAGAAGATCCGTCACCGAGAGCGCTGTCGTATCAACCAGGCACGCTACCGACAGAGGCAGATGCAAGTCGAAACTAGAATTGAAGATCAGATCAACAAACTGAAAGCGGAGATCAAAGACCTAGAAAGGAAGAGCACCGACACTGTTCTCCCTCCATCAACTCCAACGAATTGGGCGCTGGCGTCCGAGTATTTTCGCTTGTTAAATTGTTACATGTCATCACCTGGGACGCTGTACAAGATGGCATCCAAGTTTCTCAACGATACGATGGCCGCTGATGTCATTGATGGTGCAACGTATGGTCCTGAAGCGCAACTGGACAGCTGGCGATTCTTCGCCTACTACTTTGACGATGTTCGTGTGGAACTCAAGGGCCTGAAGACTCCAACTTCTGATATATTGGTAGCTGGAACAATCACCTCTGTAACCATCACAGACAACACGCTTCGCCGCGCATTCCCTCATCTTAACAGCGATGGTGTTGGTGGGGCTAAAGGTGGGGTGTGGTCCCCCGTAGCAGCTAAAATGCTGAATAAGAAGATCTACATGCAAGGGTCGGTAACGTTTGGCTGGGATAGGGCCACAGAGAAAGTGACGAGCATTTACGCGCAAGCAGACTTGGTGACACCACTGCTGAACCTGCTAGGTAGCTTAGAGGACGTGTCTTGTGCCTTCTACAAGGCACGAGTCACACCCGACTGTCGATTTGTTAGAGGTTCTTAAAAATAATAAACAACAGTAGCATTATTTTTCGCACGGAGGTAGTATTACGGATTGTATTGTAGCACAACCCGTAGTACTTCTGTCGTGCGGAAATAATGCACCTTGCCAATCATATTACTACCTAAACTAAATACCCCTCTAAATATGTTGATCTCGTGAGCAAACACATAGACCTGTTTTCAAAGGTACCCGTCTAATACGATACATTGCCCCACTGCTAAATGAACAAGAGGGGGGGGAGACATACACAGGTGAGCCGGCAGTCTTTGTTGCGTTGATTCAAATAGTTTCTGTTTGTCTTGGAAGGTGGTCGCGTGTTGGTAGGGCACGAGATTGCTTATCACTCGAGGACAATAGCTCTGCGCACACCTTATAGTCCGAATAAAAACGAGACGGAGCACTACCCAATTTTGTTTTAAGATACCCAATTGGCAAAATATTACAACATTAGTAGTGGCAAACATAAATAAAGCTCATTACTATTTTGTATAAATACAATTCCAAATTACACAGTACCAAGTCCCTGTGGGTCAGGTGCCTGCGCACAGAATCGGTACATTGAGGAAACTTCCGATTACAGACTATTGCCCCGTAATCTCTCCAGTTTATTATCATCAGCTCGTAAGCAAACACAACGCAAACTGGAGCTCTCGAATTACGATGCAAAGTACCTCTCTCTGCACGATATCAACAGTACTTTACTTGCTTAGTTCGAAGTAATGTCGATGTACTACCGTCTTACCCCGCATATAAGGCATAGGTGCTGTAAATGAATACAACGCTGCTTGTGTGTTATATTCATTTAGAAAGCCTATGTGTTGTACAACGAACAAATTGTTTGACTTTGAAGAAGCAAGTCTGTGGGTCCTGGAATATGGCTTGGTCGTTTAGGCTTGACCCTCCTACGCGATCGGCGTGGGTTCAAACCGCCACGCTGTGCTTCTTGCTAAGAGCAGCAAAGCCGTGACCTTTCACGCCTATCCGAGTCTGCTAGAACAGCGAGTTTCTCGTGGATACTATAGCTACGTCGCTCAGCACTCATGACTGTGTAAATTATTAATTAAAAGAATTAAAGCTAAGTAACAGCAGCACCGACTAGTTTGTTCAGAAGGGTGGTTGGTTGGGAGCTCTCAAGAATATTCATTGGTTGGTACAGCCTTGTGTTTTACACATGTGTTCTAATTAGATAGGTGGTCAAATTGAGGTTTAAGCTAGATGTCGAGCGAATCCCGAATTTATTTAGAACACATATGCCTTATATGCGGGGTAACGGTAGTATTTGTATTTGGTAATTTCATATTCATTTGTTTAGTTTTTTGTGAAGAATACTCCTGTAGCAAATACTAAATGATACAATTCAGCATGTAACCTATCGTTTAACATGCAGGCGGACGTTGAAGATTAGTCACAGCAGTAAGCTCCCAAATGAGGTCTTAAAAAAGATTCTGCATCTCTATAGCGCAATAAATCACATTCTGCAACATGTGCATCATTCTAGAAAATAATTAGTTCCAACAGCACCCCAAGATATTAGTTCCACGAACTGCTACAAATCATCAGCACAGCTTGTGCATGATAAAGGCCTTTAGCCTACCGGTATTTATCCTACCAATCGTGCTAACCGACATTTGCCGCACTTCGTAATCCACCAAGCACGAAACGACCAAGTTATTCTGGTCAGCGATTCGACTCTCAGTTTCCAAATTCCAACCGCAATCGCTGATCGGTTATCGAGTCCCCGCAAGCTACCCCTTTGCTGTGCCGTTCGATGAATTTTTGTACTCTCAATCCACCAAACATGTCCACCCTCAGCGACACCGTGATCGGTACTGTCATGCAGCGCTCTGCATGGAAAACCCGGGGCAAACCAGCTCCTCCCGTTGGAGATACCAAACGCAACATTGTTGGCAGCGCACATGCCTTTCAGCAGCAGTCGAAACCTTAAACGTCCCGAGCACTCGCTAAACATGCCACGCACCAACACTCTTTTCTGACCGCACAGAGCGTCAGCAAAATTCCAGCCAAGATGGCCACAGAGACACTGCTCTCATCACCCGTCACCGACCTTCTCGGGCAGACGGATCTATCGTCTGGTCGGAGACGAGCTTCGTGTCTTTCGTCCGATCTTAAGACTGTCAGGAACATTATGGCGAGCATCCAAGGTGCTGACCACCACATCACGGCTGAGTTGCAGCAAGCCATCGTGGCGGAAGCCTTGAAGAAGAAGATTCGCCACCGACAGCGTTGCCGCATCAACCAGGCGCGCTACCGACAGAGACAGATGCACCAGGAGAATCAAGTCGAGGGTCGCATCGCCAAACTGAGATCGGAGATTAAGGAACTCGAATCAAAGTTCAAGAATTTGATTCGCCCTCCACCAACCCCCACGAGTTGGGCTTTGGCATCCGAGTACTTTCGGCAGCTCAATTGCTACCTTTCGTCACCCAGAACGATGCACAAGATAGCACGCCAGTTTCTCCGCGAGACCATGGCATTCGACGTCATAGATGGCTCATTATTTGGAGTTAACGCGCAGTTGGAGAATTGGAGGCTTTTCGCACTCTACTTTACCGACGCTCGCGTAGACCTGAAGGGCCTGAAGACACCAACGTCCGACACATTGATTGCGGGCACCGTCACCAGCCTGACCATCACAGAGAAGACGGTAAGCCTCATGTTCCCACACCTCAACAGTGATGGCGTCGGTGGCCCTGAAGGCGGGGTTTGGTCTCCTCGTGCGGTCCGACTATTGAATCAAAAGATCGTTATGGATAGGTCGGTACTCTTGCGCTGGGACAGCACAACAGGGAAATTATCAAGCATTCACTCGCAGGCGGACATGATCAGTCCGATGCTGGAGCTGTTAGGTAGCTTAGAAGACGTGTCTAGTGTCTTCTACAAGGCACGAGTTAGGTTACATGCCGCCTTTACAGACTCTGACACCATAGAGGGGTTACAGCGATAAGACCAGCATTTAGCATGTTCATCTTCTACATGTAACAATATGAAGAACTAGCCTAAACAGGGCAAGCTGTCTGCGTAGATTGACAAAGAAATAGCCAAATGAAAAGTCGTGCTAATACACGTCTCGAAGTCAGCGTTGATAGCAGCAAATCATCATTTTTACGTCTTTTGCGAGACGGAAATGCGAGTTGAGTCGTCTGGGAGGTGTTCGCGAGGTCTGGGAGGGTATTTCTTGGCGGTCTCCGCGACCAGCATCAGCGCCCATATCTACCTGGTCTCTTTACTGGCTACATAGACTTTGAAAGCGTACCGTATTCTGCACGATATCCGGATATCGACAATGATTTCCTTACTGCATTCAATACCACCACGTTGCCTAATTTTAGTATGAGTTTGAACGAAGGAGTGCTTATTACAATTATTAGAAATGCTAGAAAGTATGTTTGTCATCATAAAACATGAATATCTTCTTCTTCTAAGATAAAGTACAGTACTGTACATACCTAGGCTTCAGCAACACTCAGCTTGAAAAATGAACGCTGGTACTAATGCATTATAAATGTGGTGTAATTTTTGCAGAATTATTTTCACAAGTAATAGATTTGCAAAAAAGATAATTTTAGGAAATGTGTTGTGGTGCACTTCGTTGCCTACCTCGCTGGATGCTCGGCACACGTGCTGCAGCTGAGGCAGGAGTAGCGCAATCTGATTGGTGTATCGTCTACAGCCGTGGAACGTGATTAGGCGAGAGCTCCAAGTTGGACTATCATGGAATTGGCAACGAGTGTGTACACTGTACAAAAGCGTTTCCGTTGCCTCAGACGCTGCGTTTGTTTACATTTTCTAGTCTACGAAATGGCAAGTACAAACAATGATGTTGGAGGTAGAAAGCTACTTTGCATCTAACTGAGCTCGTGGACGACAACTACTTCCATTGGGAGTTTAATGCGCGGATGAAGCTGGCCCAAAAGTGAGTGATCGCCCCATAGTTGAGTAGAAGATCAATGATTTGACGGCCCTTCATGTGATCGCTAGCGACGTGAGTTACACTTACCAAGTCTACAACTGTGGAGCTCTGACCTTCGCAGACCCAGCTCGAGGAGCACTTCAATTGGAAGACGCTTTCGAATCAGCCCCTCGTCTCCAAGAAGATTCATGGCTTCGAGATGGAGCCCGGGACAAAGGTGGCTCTCAATGTAGACAAGTTAAAGGAGCTGGCACTCCAAATGGAGTCAATTGGTGAGCTTTTGAATGAGGCTCGGCAGCTCGTGCTGCTACACACAAGTTTGGCTGACGCGTGCCACATGCATGTGGCTGTCCTCAAGAACATGCCTAACGCGAGTTTCGCTTATGAGATCCAAGCACACTCTGGTGCTGAAGCTGGGATAAATCGTTATTGGCTCAAGCGAGGGTGCTCGATTCGAAGTGAATGAGTTTAAAAAAAAACTTCCATTAATGATAGGTGTTTCTACTGCAAAAAAAATAGAGCACAAGGAATTAGAGTGCCGAAAGAAGAAGACCGACAAGGGACATGGTCAAGAGACGCAGTCTCAAGCGTCTGACTTTGCGCTAACGGCTGCAAGTGCGATGGCCAAAACGGAGTGGAACGTGAACTCTGGTACAAGTTTGCACATAACCAGCGTCCGGGACAGATTCGTCTCCACGAGAAGTCTGTAAAGACCAAACCACATCCCGATTGCAGATGGCACGAAGATCACCGCATATGCAGCGGGCGCTGTCGGGTCGTAATTGAAGGACGAGACGGCTGTCACCTTGTCGTATGTCCTGGACATCCCTGAGGTTGATGGAAACCGCCTCTAGGTGTCCAAGCTGGCGGAGAAGGGCGTCGTCGCGCAGCCCAGCAAGGAAAAGTGTGTCTTTCGCTATGGCTTCGCAACGGTCATGGAGACTAAGCGCTGTGGAAACGTCTACACGCTGAATGCAGGGGGGGGATTTTCAGGCTGCGACAACTCACAAACGCCGTGTGAATCGAGGTTTCAAGGTGGGGAAAACACAGGAGTAAGGGGTGCCCGGAGAGTGAACAAACGCTTCGTACATAACGCGGAGAGAAGACTCTCAGCAAGTTGGCTGAAAGTCAGGCGAAATTCACACAGGTATTGCCATTTATGCTAAAAACTACAAGCTTAA